TAAAAGCGCTGTGTTACCGGCCTGGACTGAAGCGCAATTCGGTTTCAGTCCACATTCAGGTATGGATTGAATTACGAATTAATTTCATTCTAGATGGCGGTATGGACGGATTACCACTTGCTATGGGCTTTGACATATGTATTGATAATGATCAATCCGTATGATAATGCAACACTTCGCGATAAACCTTTTGGAACGCCAGCCAATTGCGATCTGCTTTAGTAGTTACCGGGGCGACTGATGGCATTGGCAAAGCGTACGCTGTACAGCTGGCTAAAAGAGGCCTGAGCGTCTATTTGCTCGGAAGAAACGAGAGCAAGCTGCGCGCAGTTACCGCGGAAATTGGTACGTGAATCAGCTTCAGTCGATTCTGTCAACTGTTTAATTCTTGATCGGGTTATGTTCTCAGCCATATGTTTGCATTCTTAGAGTGTTTTGCCTATGCAGGAACGGTCTCTAGATGATTTAGAGGAATGACGATAAAATATGCAAGTTTTTTTAGGTATTATCGCTTCGCGTTTATTATTTTGTATGTTTCACAATCGACTTTTGCGAAGGATGAGGTGGCGTTTTTTCGTTTCCTCAATTATATATGCAACGTAATGAGGTTATGCAAAATACGATTTTGCGAGGAATGTGCAGAGTGTCCCTTCGGGATCACAAATTCGGTAATGGTCTGAATTGATAGACGTAATTACTGCCTTTTACGACGCCAAGAATTGATGGGCCGGTCATATGGCTGCCTGGGAAGCATATGGGGGCAGGAGGTCAAGAATACGAACCGGGTTCCGCTTGTCCACATACTTGCACTCGTTCGTGCAAAAACAAGCCAGGACTTTGTCAAATTACTTCAGAGCTGCATGGTAGAGAGTGGAGAACAGGCAATACTGGAGAATCGTCGACTTGTGTACATGGCATGTCCATAGCGAGGTCACGTTTGGTAACGAATATTGAGATTATGTCTTTCATATCGTCGGCGTGTTGCTTTCGCACTTAAACTAAACAAACATAAAAAAACAGTCGCGATCAGACTTAGAGTATTGTCGTTTCATAGTACCGTTG